CCGAGGACGTGGGGGGGCGGGGAGTGGGGCGGGGATGGAGAAAGCAACATTTCCACCCATGGATACCAGAACAAGTTATACCTTCCTGCAGAAGTAAAGGTATTGGCAGCAGAGTGAGGAACAGAAGGGGGTATTTCCACCACAGTTATCCTTATAGGGTGACACATGGAATAAAAACAATGGGAAGGATACTATAAACTATCTGAATGAATTACTTCTTTGCCCTGTCTACCATATCACAGCCTCAGACGTTGGGAAGGACAACGCGATGAATTCCTGCAGCCTGGAGAGAAGGAGAACTTGAGCTGCCACCTGCTGCTATTGCCACTTATTAGACATATCACAACTTCCTGCTTTACATTAGCATGAACTAGAATTAATTCAGCCCAGTTATTTGTTTTTTTAAGGTGAATACCAAAGTGGACTTTCCAAGCCACACTAGAGGAACTGAAAGTTTATCACAAGTATGATCCACATTTTCCCTCCATCCTAACACTGCTAATATATAGAATGAGATTTCTTTCACAATGCAGTGAAGCCTGAGTTTTCCCTGGAAACACCAGGAGCACCACAACTTCTCCTGGGCTACACATACACCCTCTACAGAAAGTTAAAACAAGAAGCTCTTCCTCCTGAAAGGTCGTGCTTAAAGCGTGGCTGCATCTCTCGTCATTTTTATATATGCTACCTCTGACCTTGAAAACACACATTCTGATATTCCTGTTCCAACAGATAGACGTGGATTTGCAAGGATTTTCAAACTGGCCAACAGAATACCATGTATTAAAATATGAAGTGCCGACACTGAGTGAAATTGGGAATTGACTATAAAGGTAAGAATCAAATTACTCAGAAGTTAGATAAGATACAGTTATCAGTTGGTAGGATGCACAAAACCTCCATGTCTGAGCAAGAAACCTCTTTTCTTGTACTACTTCAAATATCAGTCACAAGGAAAAAAACCAACAAACCAACCCTGCCTAGAACAGAATGCCCCTGTCCTGTGAGGAAGGAGCTCATCTCAGCCTCTGGGTGCATGGTTGGGCCAATTCTATTTTATGTTTCAAAACACTGAACGATTGAGCCAAAAAAGAATGGGAATGAGAGAAGAAACAAGAAACGCCGTAAAACTACTCTGCACTGCTCTCTTAGCTTCACTGGAAGACAAAGCCAGGATGTATTGCCTGTGGGTATCAGGGAAATGAACTATCATTAGTTCTGTCACCTGCACTCTCAAAAAACTCATCAGATTTATTTTCCTGAAGTAGGAGTTCTGCAGCGATCTCGAGAGAACAAAAACAAATTATGGCATTCTTAGGTTATGAAATTTTCAGTGACAAAGATGCAGCCTCCTGTTTACAAATGGTTTTACAGAAAGGATCTGTTATTTAATATTCAAGGAAATAATCTCAGTATAAAAACCATATGGTCAAGGGAAAATTCGAAACTTTAATCTCACATTAATAATAGCACTAGAGTATGTTCAGACAGAGAGATATCTAAGAACCTGTTTTACTTTTCACTATTTACATTGTTTTGTTATTGTTTCGCAGCTTGGGCAATAAATAGTTCAAGCTGTTGTATCAGCAGAATTCAATGACAGAAACCTCTGTACTTTTCCTGTAACACATTTCATCTGTTATCTCAGGGTACTTCGCCTAGGTCAGTATTATTGTCTCCATTTTAGTGATGAAAAAAATCGAGATTTAGAGGTAAAATAATGTTGTCAGGGCTAGACTGTTGTGCAGGTGGAAATGCAAGCCAGACTTCTTCCTTCCAGTGTCTCATCCATGTGATTGATTAACCTCATCTCATCTGTTGATGTAGAGTCACACCTGAGTCGCCTAATTTTTAGGTCAGATTTTAATGATCAGACCAGGATGTCTCCATGATGATGGGCGAAAGAGGTGAAGCGTAAAACAGGGGGAATCGCAGTTGCGGTCTCTGCAATGAAGGAGGTGCAGGTGCTAGAATGGATGGTTGGGCAGTTTGGCTCTGGGTACGTTTTCCAGTGCATTTCAGAGCACTGCTTTGTTCCAGTCTAAGTGGTAAATAAACGAGCAGATAAAACCACTTGCCTGGCAAATAAAAAAGTAAACGACCTTATCTGATGTTCTTGGCCAGGCAATGAGAACTGGACAAACTCCCCATGGCTCAAGCTACAACAGGACAAATACTGCTCACACTCACCTTAATACTTCAGTTCTAGCTGGGTCCTCAGCTCAAGCCCGTGGGCTGCAAGAGGTGAGTAATCAAGATACCTCCCCCCAGAAAGGGAAATAAACTTTTTTTTCCTCCTGTTAGCAGTGCCACCTATTTTCACTCACAAACTGTCCAGGCTTGCCATGGCGAGCCTGGTGGATCAAAGACTCGTCACTCACTAATTCCACGCTATCATTTTCATCCATGTGGGCTTTTTTTTTCCCCTCCTTCCTTTTTTCCAATTTGCCCAAAGAGCAAGCTGGTGCACATTCTTATAAACCTTTAATTAACAAGCTGAAAAGACATTTTTCTGGCAATGCCTGACCTTTAAGCACTTTGTATTAATTTATCGATACCAGCAGAAACAATAATTTAAAAGGTTATTTTATGAGTGCTGAATAGTTTATGGCAGCACTTTTGTCAAGATAAATTAGTTTCTTATTTCTACATTTACAGCTCTAAGCATTTTAATAAAAAAGGTCCATAAAAGTCAAAGATAACTCCAAATCTCTCCTCTATCTAAGTCTATTTGGGCTTTTCTGGTGACGCCCTGAAACACCTACAATGTGGAGGGAGCACTGAAATGTGCAGTGATGGGGGAAAGTGAAGAGCCAAGTTTCAGTTTGCCTCAGAATTGTTTTGATTTGATTGTATGCATTTAAGCCAGATTTACCATCTTTATACTGAGGATTTTTTTTCAAAAAAACCCAAACAATCATCAGGTGTATTTCCTACTGTCTAATACACTAAACTTTACATCCAGCAGCACTTCTTCTCCCAGGCAAGCATCTGGGAGCTCATGACCCCTTGCTAACTCCTACCTCAAGCACCAGCCCCAGCCCTGGACTGGAACAGGAACCTCAGCCACTGCATCACCCACTGTAGGAGTTAATGGCTAATGAATGCATATGGCTGCAACACAAACCACTTACAAACCCCCGTCTTCAGTGACCTATACGGAGCAGACAGGTATCTGGCATGTCAGGGACACCTTTTTTGTTTGTGCAATCCACAGATGCCCTCGGACAGGAACCGCAGCAGGCCCACTGTGTAGGTGACCTGCAATCTCAGTTGTTGGGTAAATGTCATCCCGTAGCATGCTCCGAAGGGTCACATTTTGAATTGCAAAAACAGGTGAAGAGATGCAAACGAAATGATCTTTTTCAGTGGTCATTTTACTCACTAAGAAAATAATAATGATAAGAATTTAAAAAAAGAAAACCAACCCAAAAGCCCGGAAACAGGAGGACGCAGTTGCATTAAAAGACAAAAAAAGCAGTTCCTCCCATGTAACCAAAAGAAAATGAAAAATTTAGAAGACATTTCCAAGTGTAGTTAAAAAAGAAAATCACTTCTTGCCCTCAATTCTTCTATTAATACCCAATAGCATTGTAAGTATTTGCTGTATTTTCTCCTCCTATGCTTCTCCTGCATTAAATCAACACCATCCCTAGATCAAGGCTCTCAAAGACAACTGAGGGATAGAAGTGTGGGGATAGTGGCAAGTAGAAGACATAAAAAGTGAAACAAAGCAGTATGGGATGGACAAAGAATAAGAATTCAAAGGATGAAGGCTAGAGATGGTTAGAGGATGAAACGATGCTGAGGCAGAAACAAGGATGAGATTTGCATTGTCGATGATCAGACACTAAGGGCCATACATTCAGTTTCCACCTATTACGTTATGACTCCTTTAGTCAATGCCTGCATTTTTAAATCCATGACTTAAGCACATTTGTGATTTTAGTAAACTTCTGCATTTCAGCCCTGAATGAATACATATACATATACACACAGAGATGTGTATCTCTACTTTATTGAAAGATATTTACATTTTACTGAGTTTGGGTAAATATATTTGTCAGACCATTGCCATGTTTGCTTTGAATTACAAATTCCTTTCCCCCCTCATTTGGATGTACTAACGCTTAAGGACCTGTTCCTACAATTCATTATCCGTGCAAACTCATTGTTGAGCTTGGGTACGTGAGCAGTTTAGGATTAGATCACAGATGTAAAACTGTTAGGGGACACAACTCTCCTCCCCTTCCAGAATTACACCAGTACAGATAAAATCACTGAAGTCAATCACTGAAGAGAATCAGACTCAATGAGTAACAGAAGGTTAAAAAGCCACATAGTCTCAAAAGCCTTTCACTACAGCTTGTTACCAAAATAAATACTTAACTCAGGAACACATGGGTTTGTTACATCTTAGCAGAACAGTTCAATTATTTGAGTTCAACTGACACTGCATTGCTGTATTATTTGCAAACTATTTTATACTGACATCAATACTGCAGCACAAATATTGTGTTCCTACAATGTATTATAGAAACACTAATCTTTTTCTTTTTAAAGTACATATGCATCTCTCTAAGATCTAGGTCGTCTTCGTGTTGCAAATAAGACACCTAAGCTATTAAAAAAATGTTTTTGTCTGTTATGTGTTCAATATTGGCAACAACAGTTTTACAGAATGGATTTTTAATGTGGTAGTGACAGGGGAACAGATTGCTATGGCAACAGCAAAGATGAAAATTCTTAACCTGAATGGATCGTCACTGAAGTAATTGCAGGGTTTTTTTACCCATTCTACATCCATTTTACAACTTGAATGCTGCATTCAACCTTGAGCTTGCTTTGTATAAATGCCAAGCACTATATGCAACCTCCAAGTTCATTTGACTTAAAACTTGCTGCACCTTACCTCAATAATCCAGGATAGTTGCTGTCTTCTAGCTAACCTAAACATCTGAATGCTATTATTTTTCCATATAGGTCACCAGTAAAAGCACTGTGTGCTTGGATATAACTTTGAGGCTCCTGCAAGATGTGTACGCATACATATTTTTTCTTTCCTTCTAGACTTACCTTCCATAAAAATCTGTAGAAAACTGTCTTCATTTTCAAAATATGGTGAAATCACTGTGCATGGTATTTCTAATAATGGTGGAATAATGACATATTTCAGTTTCACACGCAGATCGTATCCCAAAGAGACTGCACTTCAGACACATATTTTGTGTAAATAGTAATTTAATTGGAATTTCATAGAAATTTAAAGATTTCTCTTGCAGCTTTTAAAAGTGTTTGTTTTCCCCACTTCCTTTCTCTTTACTCAGAATTCATTAACCATGCTCTTGTATGCACATTTATTATTGTTATGAAGTAGACAATCAGAAACACAACAAGTCCTGTTGCTTTTTTAAAATACCAGTATTTTTGAAACCATCCTTTCTTTGGGCACTAAAAATACCATTTAAACAAACCCTCATTATAGCCAGTCAACAACAACTCAAACTACACCAGATGCTCTTGCACTGAAACAGCCTACAACTGCTCTCACTGCCCGTTACAAGGCCCCGTACCGGGGTAGCAACAAGCGGCAGGAGCCAAGGTACCGCCTTAAATTCCAAACCTGCTTTGAAAACCACGGTGTGACCAAATTCTTAATCGCTGCTGAGATATTCATACTCATCCCTTTCAACACCACTTATCTGCAAGAAAACCCACAGTGGTATCAGAGCTCATGAGGGTATCGAGGAGTATATGCAGAGATAAAGCAAGCCATTTTCTGCTTTTACCATGGCTCTTAGGCTTTTCAGAGCACCATCTAATTTCTCTCTGCTTTTACCACGGCTCTCAGACTTTTCAGACCACTATCTCCACTTCTTGCCACTTGCACATTCCCATTTGGGTAAACTCAAAAATACAAACTCTGTTTGAACACACTGTGGGCACGTATTCTGGCAAAGGAAAAACATGATGAATAAAGTTCATGAGTTTCCCTGGTTCAGAAATCCCACTGGTTACTTACACCAGAGGACAGATAGCTGTGCCAAATAACTGTTCTTAAACACAGCTTCCATCACATTATTTACTGGTTAGTATTTTTTTAAGGTACCATTATTTTTCTCAAAGGAAACAGGATTTTTCCACAGTCATTAGAACACACTCTAAATTTCTGAAAAGAAGGAAAAAAAAAAGTTTGGCTACGTGAACTGCATTAGTATGCACATACCTGTTCTGTGATTTGAAGCTTTATTCAGAAATCATATTCAATTAATTAAGTCTCCACCTCCTGCACAAATGAGTGTAGTCTCACTGAGTTGCAACAACAACACTCAGCAGCTGTGATCACACCTATAGTCTCTTGCTCAGCTGATTCATAAAAGATTTGCTGTTTAGCTACTAAACTGTTCCAGGTTGACACTGTTTTTAATGACTAACGTCTTCAAATTACTTATTCTCTGTTCACAGTCTGCGGAAATATTTCAGAGTAAAGGGAAAAATGCATGCACAGTGTGTCGCACAAAGCAGTTTCTAGCCTCTCCCTCAAGTGAGTTCGAGCATGAGTGAAAATCTTCCACAGAGCCCCACCAGCTGCTGAAGTTTTACTGCTCTACCCCAGTGGCAGGAGATGAGGATTAGGGTATGGAAAGAGAGGGCAGGGGGAGGAAAAATAAAGGAGGAAATGACCGTCATTCCTTAGTGATTTAGGAATCCTCACCTATCAGAATGGCCCATGCAGCCTATGAGCAGCTCCTGAAAAATGAAGATTATCTTCCAAATCATTCCACCTTAGCACCCATAGGGCTCAGAGCTGCTTTTGCAGTTTTTGTTCCGAGTTTTTATTATGCATTCTGCAGTCACTCTGAAGAACTGGAAAACACGAGGGAAGTGACAGCCTGAGATGATCTAATTGCTCGCTGCCACACAGCCCCTTTTGTCAGGTCCTGAGCTGAGCTAATGCAGCTTGCTAACCAGGATAAAGAAAGTTTTCTGCTAGTTGAATTAGCTTAGGAAAGTATCCAGCAAGCAACAGAATAAAGGCAAGGGAAAAAGCAATGTTTCTCAGCTGGCGGGGGCGGGGAAGGGAAGACAGGAACCACAAAGGTAGGGGAACAGAAAAATGGAATGATGGTTCCAACCTTTTTGGAGAAAAGAAGCTATTAGATCAGTTCTGCCATAATAACTGGATGTTGTTACCAAAAGTAACTTCCTTGAGCATAGACCTTCAGGAAGGAACATGAAGACTTTGCCTGAATTCCGTATAAAGGGTGTATAAATATGGCTGATCTTAAAATTCTACTGTTAATAAAATTAGGTAGAAAAAAGGAAGCAATAACTTTTCCAGGAAATGTTAATTTGAATGTGCAGAACATCCCATAAGCTTGCTTTATTTTTTTTTAGGCAGACTACT